TGTTACGGGCATTGCTGTGGCTGCAGCAGGGGTTTCTGAGCAGATACCGCCTGGAAGAATGGGGATGCAGGTACAGCTTCCGCTTAAGCCTCCACCCGGTAGGGTAAATCCTTTTGAAGATCCTACTAGTCCAGCCCCTCCCCCACTACCTCCTGCCAAGATAACCAATCTCGCAGTAGTGTTAGGTTTGTCTTTTCCCTGAAGCATTTAGATAACTGCCTTAAACGTGACAACTGAAGAAGTTTGCGATGCCCTTAAAGAAGGTGATTCCTGTTCCCTTCAATATATCAAGATAAAGAAACACTAAAATTGATCGTCTTTATAACCTTATTGTTCCTCCCACCTCACCCCCACCCTAAAAAAAGGTCATCTTGCACATGTGGGTGTTATTATTGTGATTAACTAGGGTTGAAATCGACCTCAACAGTGATAATTTTTCCAAAAGTGAAATGATTTCATGCAAAGTTTTCTTGTCATGGTAAAGACAATGTAGATAGTATGAGTTTATACGGTTCTGAATTATTGGAAAAGGAAAAGTTTTTCATTTTACAGGCAGGGTTGACGTCAATTTAGGATAGGTAAATGTAGGTAATATGAGAATCGAGGAATATGTAGTATCAACTGATATTGGTCACTTTATTTTATATGTTTCTTCTTTTCCTTGTAACTTTGAGCAGTAATAGGTGTATCATCGACTGCTGTCCCCTTGAAGACCCAATCCATGTATTCTTTCAAAAAGATATATGATAAATGTTCATTTATCATATATTTGTTCCCTGTTTTCTGTTTCTGCCCCTTCATGTCTTAGTTCATCTTATCATTAAGAAGGCCATCGTCCCTTCGGTGTACTATTTGTGCCTTTCTACATCTTTGCTTCTGCAACCATGTGTACTTTAAAGAGAAGCTTTACTCCTGCTATGAACATTATCTATCTGCAACATCATATTATCGTCGAGGCTTTGCTGAGCGTCGTACTTTGCATGGTCATTCACCAATCTGATTGATGGAATTTTATAAGCATTAAGTGTACATTATCTTAAAAATGTCCTTTCAAAAATAAAAAAAATTAGCACCGCTTCAGGACAGGTCACTATTATCATGATCAGAATGATTATACTTCTTGTAAGAAGAATTTGTACTTCCCTCACAGTCAAGTGGCAAAATATTAGTATACTTGTATATTGGTTGGGTCAATTTCTTGGAAATATCAGGTTGTTGTATATTTGCATCTATGACAACAGTGACTAATATTTTATTCTGACTCAGGAAATGAGCTTCCTTCTGAACTCCTTCAAACTTTGCTTAAGATAGCACCAACTGCTGACGAAGAATTGAAGCTGAGGCTCTACAATGGGGATCTCTCTCGGCTTGGGCCTGCGGAACGATTCCTGAAAGTCTTGGTTGATATTCCATTTGCCTTCAAGAGACTAGAATCCTTGCTCTTTATGTGCAGTCTTGAGGAGGAGGCATCAATGGCTAAAGAATCATTTGCTACTTTGGAGGTGAGATAAATGTTCCTGATTGTGATGAACTGTTGGATTATGAATAAATATTCCTAACTTATATTCCCTCTGTTTCATTTTTTTTTGTTGGTAAACTGTGAAAGATTTCCGTAGACAACCAATTCTTATACCTAAAAAGCACTCATAGGAATCATAACCAAAGTGTTAGTCATCCCCAAGCCTCTGAAACAGTAAAACAATTAGTTACAAATTTTCTGGATTATACTACTGCACTTCATAGCTTTCCTAGAGCCTTTATGTGCGCTTTAGTGTCTTCATGAAGGTTCTAAGGCATATTTTTCCTTGCCAATGAGCCTCTTCTGAAGAGGTGACACAAAACAATTGATATTTCACTTTATCTAATCTTTTTTCAATTTATTTGTTCATATATTTGTCGTCATTTTTATAATTATTAGTCTTGGACTAAACATATATATTTGTAATTTTTCTCCCTTTGCGCCTTTTTTTATTAAAGCCTACGCTTTATTTGCTCTTTGGGCTTCAAGCCCCAACGGATAGAGCTTTTTTGCGTTTTTCGCCTTTGATAACACTGACATGTAGAATGTACTAAAACAACCTTTATGGAAAGTAATAATTGAACAATTGCCGAAAAAGGAAAGAGGCATTCTTTTTTAAACAAACTAAAAAGGAAAGTAAGACAAACAAATTGAAACGGAGGGAGTATATCATTGGAGAATCTTTCTTGCACCTTTACATTTGTAGCCTTAACATTCCTTTGTTTTCTACCAATATCCTGATATTGGTGTTTGGTGCATCTTATTTTATGCTTCAGGCTGCTTGCACGGAACTACGGAAAACTGGCAATCGTATGAATGATGGAACATTTCGTGGTGGTGCTCAAGCATTTAAACTTGACACGCTTCTGAAACTATCAGATGTAAAAGGAATAGACGGCAAAACTACGTTGTTGCATTTTGTTGTTCAAGAGATAATCCGTTCAGAAGGTATACGAGCTGCCCGTGCCAGAGACCGAGGGAGTGTGTCTAGCATCAAGTCTGATGATCTACCCGAGGATCAGCCTCAAGATGCAGAGGAGTATTATCGAAGTACTGGTCTACAGGTTGTTTCAGGTTTGAGTAGTGAAATTGAAAATGTGTAAAAAGCTGCAATTTTGGACGCGGACAGCTTAACAGGCACAGTATCCAAGCTTGGTCGTGCACTAAAAGAATCACGGGATTTCCTAAATTCAGAAATGAAGAACGTAGATGATGAAAATAGGTTTCACCAGACCCTGAAGAGTTTTGTGCAGAATGCTGAGCTTGACATCATGTGGTTATTCGAGGAAGAAAAAAGAATTATGGCCTTAGTTAAAAGCACAGGAGATTATTTCCACGGAAATGCAGGGAAAGATGAAGGTTTACGATTGTTTGTTATCGTTCATGATTTTCTGAATGTATTTATGGTAATGTAATGATTATTTACAAAAGTCAGTCGAGATAATTGTGTTTTATTTATTTTTATTTTTCTTTCCATATTTGTAAGAGTACTAATATTTTTTATATATAGCAATTTAATTGCTTGATTTCTCTTGTGTCTGTAACAATAAAATATTGGTATACTACACTTTTCTTTAGCTTGAAAATTTGGAAATTTTTCATATTAGATTCAGAATTAATCTTATAATAACTAAATGTAGTTTCTCACAGTTTAATTTAATACTTATATTGTGTTGTTGTGATTTATCAACATGTTGGAGATGATTTTGACCAAAAGTTTATTAAAAAAATTCTAAGTTTTTTATTTTTTTGCACAAGTAACAACCCATAAATTAAAATTTTTGAGATAAAAGTGATTTGTGTATCATGTTTTAAAATCAATTATATGTTCTCTCACCTTAGGAATTTCAAGTTTTTTTCTGAAGTTATATATGACATTTTGTAAAAGTTGGATAGTGTGGATTTTGATTTTATTCAAGAGTGACTTGTATTTTAAAAAATGTATACAAATAATATGGGGTATATGTGAGCATCTTGAAATTTGAATAATTAAATTATTTTGAATAAATAAAATATCAAATATTCGATTATTATAGAATAGGGGAAGTATAGGCTTCCAACTGTTATTATAGATATTTTGTTTTCTTCCGCCATATCATACAATTATTTTTCTGAATTCAATTATTTGGAGCTTAAAAAAGTGAAGTTGGGATAAAAAAATTAATTCATATCGCTCTTTTCTTAATATTTTTATATATCCGTTTTTATGTTAACACAGTTGTTATTTATGTGAAGTTTTTCATTTCCCATCAAGTACACTAGTGAGTCCAACTGAAACCAAGTCTAATCTTATAGCCGTTTATGGACGGAAGAATGTATATAGTTTTTATGAACTAATTTCATTTTCCCCTCACTCAGACGAGAGGAAGAGAGAGCTTCACCAAGAACTTAGATAACCTATTAAATCGAGTCGTTTCTTCAACTGATTTCAGCCCACTGATCGATTGATCTATGAAAAAGACTATTTTTTACTTGATAGTGGCTACTCTTGACTTTACAACACCTGTTAAGCAAAAAATATAAGAAACGTTAGCCTCAAATCTAATATATGGCACAATTGCAAACGATATAAATAAAAACAAAACATGTTTGTAATGATTAACATGAAACTTCAAGGCAAAATATTACAAGCTCAAATTGATGAATAGTGAATCTTATTTTCTTGTTGCTTTGGCATGTTATTGTTGCCTCTTTTTCATTGTTCGCCTAGTCAAAGGTCTATTGGAAACAATCTCTCTATCTTCTCAAGGTATGCATACATTCTACCCTCCTCGGACCCCACCTGTGGAATTATTGGGTTTCTTGTTGTTGCTAAAGGATATATAGCCCACAATTATTACATTATGCCAACCAAATTTGCCCCTACTTACTGGTGTCACTTGTTGCTTGCATTTAACCTGTCTGGTCTGGTTATCTTCTTTCAGCTTCAGCATTTAGTGCATAAAGTGAGCATGCAAACAATGTTGATATAGCAAAATTATAAAGAGTTGATCCAGAAAGGAAAATGAACTCGAGTATAAATAGAAACTAAATCATACTCGAGCGATATGTAATGAAGAAATAAGATGGTTGTAGAAAGAAATTAGTTAATTCTTTACCATAAACGATGAATTTCAATTATTTAAAAGCAACATGATATTTTGTGTTCACAACATATATAATGAGATAAAACAAAGTTAGTTCTTGGTTGTCAGTGTCTTAATAAACATTAGACATGCCTTTAAAAAGAACTGAAGCATACCTTATCTCGGTTTTTCTCTTCTCAGCCTTCAAATGCAATTTTCTAATACTAGCGTGATCGGCCATCTTTGCAGCTTCTCTAAGCCCAGTGAGAAATGATCCATGCATGGTGGCTGGCTAGCGCAAAGATGGAGTAGGAACCAAATTTGAATGGATGGGCTTTGGGACGTTAATTCCTTGTGGTTCATATATGCCTGATAATAATGCCCAAATCTTATCAATACATTAGCTCCATAACCATTAGAAACATAAGTTTCATCTTTACTATAATCGATGCATTTTCATATATATATATATATATATATATGCCTACGTAGCAGCAAAAATAAACGACAGATGATGAAATCATCTCTGAAGTATATAGTTGAGACAGAAAGTTAAACAAAGCAAGATCCTACCTCAAACAAGACAATACATACACGCTTCAAACTGAAACTTAACGAATATGAAATGGACTTGGCACTTATACTCTTTCAACCGCTCAACTCTAGACAAAGATAACATGAATTTTCACTTCCCGAGCAACTTCGTTCTTATTTTTCTGCTCGTGGAGTTTTTTATTCTTTACTTGTTACTTGGCTACCAAATAATATGCTATTCAAAAGAAAGAAAGATAAGATTTTGGTATATTGAAAGCTAAGTTAATATGGAACATGACATTTAATTACCTTCTAAAATTTGAAGAACTTTTTTCACTGCATCAGTAGGGGCCGTTAGCTCAAACTTGTATGGCAGCTTCTCCTGCGACTAGAGCTAACAATAAGGGCCAACCAGTAACTGTTGTATAGCTATAGAACAAAATCCTCTCGCGAAGTCCCCAATGCCTCTCCAAGATAAACAACCTCCGCTTTTTGTTATCCAAATACTCGTGTACAGGCTTTCCATCAGCATGATAGAGTGAATATTGGTCTCTCAAAATTGTCGTACAAATAGACCAAGCAGATTCCCTAGTGTACCTGTCAAAACAATCCCTCCTAAATCAGCAGTTGTCACTTTATTCCCCCTCCCATCTTTTTTGTACACCCTTCCACCTACACGCTTTCGTCCTTCGAAAACAGTAACTTCAAAGCCAAATGACATGAGTTTCCTCGCAGCCGCCAACACAGCAAGATGTGCCCCAGTAACAATCACTCTGCCCTTACTTGGCCCAGCTGAAATCCTGTCCTTAATTGTCAAAGCCACCCAAAAATTAAAAT